TCATTAAGAGAATAAAGAAAACATAAAATGGATCCCTTTACTCAGGTAAGTTTCCTAATGCTTCAAAGGGAAGCAAAACCATGCATACTATCCCACGCAGATGCGAGTGTTTAGTTGTGTTGTAGTTTAGTCGTAAATTTCAGTAGATCATCTCATTTCTTTACTCTCTCCCTTACGGTCTTTAATATCGTTAATATCGTTTGTTCACATCGGATGCTTTCGGCTAGTACTTAATAATTTTGGTGGGCAAATGTTGCAAGGAGAGTGCGTCTATTCGATGAAAATTGATTTTAAGTAATTTTCTTTTATATTAAAATTGAAATTGAATTAGTTTTTATTTTCCGATTATTTATTAATAGTAATAATATTTTTAGATTACAATCAGTCTTACGTTGTGTAACCAAAATTGTTAAATGTAATTTCGCACCTTTATCGAAAGACTTGAATATAAAATGTACATACGAAATGCAACCCTGTCTCTTAGTTTATAATGCTGCCCTCTAACATAAATTTTTGTCATTTTAATTTGAATTTTGTTGCATTTCAACTGCAAAGTATTCGCAGTCACAGCCGGATTTCTTGCAAATAATTACTACTGTTTATTATCAGGACGTGTAAGCGACAAAATTTAGTGACTTAACATCTAAAAAAAAAGGAGTTTGGTGTGTATAATAAAATTTTCATTAAGAAAATTTAAAAAGCATAAAATGGATTCTTATACTCAGGTAAGTGTCCTAATGCCGCCTCCGAACAAAGACAAAGGAGTTTTTGTTAGTAAGAAGCAAAAAAAAAAAAGCATCGATTGCCTGATGCGTAAACATGTTTGTTTGTTTAAAAGTAGCAAATGCTTGAAAAAGCTGAAAAACGAAGACGGGCGCTAGGAGTAGGCAGCGTCGTCGATATCAGTTCTTGCTTAGCCGAAGTATCATCAAATATGCAGAGTGACGTTTGCGCAGAAACAATGGCGGTAGCGGTAGAATCACAACAGAAAAAGCAACAAAAGCAAAAAAAAGCAGCTGCACGCTACCGTAGTACATAGCGACAGTATAGCAAATGTAAATGTAAACAGATTGCAGGTCGTTGAGAAGGAATTTAACGGAACTAAAGTAGCGGGAATTCACGGAAGTGCTAATCCTGATTGTACGTCGAAAAAGATTTTGCGTCAATTTGCAGCGGTAGATAAAGAAAACATGGATTTGGGAATTGAAATTAATATAATGACGGATAAGCATGTAGAGGTAAGTAATGTATTTGCAATTCAACTTATTCGCCTCGTGTATATGTAAGCTGTGTACCTACCTATTCAAACTTCAAAATAGCATTTACTCTAATCTTTTGGATAATGAAAATTCTCTTTACAAATTTTCTCTTTCGCTTTCTGTTTTCTCCTCTCCCTTATTAGGTACAAGTGCAAGTGGAAGAACAAGAAATGACTACTACGGATGAAGAACAAACGGTAGAAGCACAAGTGCGAACGACATCGAAGCAGATAGACGGTGCGCAGCAAGAACGAGAACGTATTGACCAAACCTCAATCTCAGCCTTAAACCTTCGAAATACACCGAGGAAATGCTTGCAACGTTTAGGTGTCTTGTACTCCAATACTGATGATTTATCATCGCCCATACACCGTACAGAAGGACAATTTCATGCGGATACGGAGGAAAGAAAAGAAGGAGCGTGCACAAAACCCAAGCGGAAATTAAATAAATTGGCTGCCTTAGCGGAGAGCATTAATCAGTGGGAAGATGATATCACCCATCATAATATAAAGGCGTCGGGCAAATTGTCGTCCATACCACCACCTAAACCCGATTTACCAAGCAGGGGACGCATGAAATGCATTGCGTCCGATAGTATAACAGCAAACAAGCAAATTGACAATACACGAAATCTAAAAGACAAGGATGAAGGAATTTTTTCACTGGAAGCTCAAGGTTTTGAAAGACGCGAATCATTTACTCTGAAATTGCCTTATGGATTTGGTAAAGAACAACGAGAAGTGCAAGAGGATATACAGGAAAAGCCTTCAAACATTGACAAAGAAAAGGAGAAGAGAACGGAGTGCGATAAAATAAATATTAACAAATTTGCTAAACAATCGTACGAGGAAAAGAAATTAAATCAACCAGCAGAAAATGAAAAAGTGGCTACCGCTAAACCTGGCATAGTTTCAGCTAGGACGGCATTGTTTGAGAATCAAACTCAGAATGTACAAAAGCCTCAGAAAGATCCGACCGAATTATCGCTTAAGGAGCGAATGAAATTATTTGAAAAAAATAAGGGTGAAGCTTTAATACCAAAAGCTCCACTTGGCATGGCTGCACCAATAGGCAAGCTATTACACGATTCTCAAAAAGGAAAGGACGAACAAGGTAAAGATAATGAAAAAAGAAAAGCAAAATTTGTTTTTCTTAAAAGTCTAAACGCATTATATCTTAGTAGGTGCGGTCTCGAGTTCTAACCTTCTGTTAAATAAATGCAGCACTGATAGGAATGTGCGTGCTAAGGTAGCCGCTTTGATGCAGGCTTCGAATGAAAATAAAATTAAAGATGATATACGTAAGCAGCGAGAAGAGGATATGCAAGTATTGTCCAATCGTTTTAATAAACAAAAACGGCTTCAGGTAGCAACCGGTCAGCAGCACCAACAAGACCAAGGAGAGTTACAAGTTGAGGCACCTACTGGTGCTTTAGTAACACGCACAAAGGCTATGGTGAAACTTCAATCTTTAACACCCACGACGCCGCCCTTACCGTCGTCAAAAAGTGCTCCGACTCCCTATGCAAAAAGGCGATCATGTAAGTTTTTCTGCAAATTTTTCTATCCAAACTTTTTTTATTCGCTTGTGAAAGTTTTTCAAGGGAGAAAATATTAGTAATTGCAGAAAAATTCTCCAGAAAATTTTCTTACAAATAAATCCTTCTAGATATAGCCTAGTCTGACTTGCACTTTTCGGGCTAATGTGAAACATTCCCTCTGCAACGGCAAAATATAGTTCAAAATCTCCATGTAAAGAGTACATTGGCTTCTTCATTCACAAAGGTTTACACGTAGGTTTCATTATTCAGGACACTTCTCATGAAGCTACGACATTCGCCCCTTCCTTTCCGTGTGCGGCGGTGTCTTAGGGGTTCGGAAACGTAACAAGGAATATTAAAAATAACTTTAGTTAACTCTCAACGTGTGCTTTTAAGATACATAGCAAATTATCTGTGTTTTGTTGCAAAGACACTTTAAGGGCAGTTTCGAAAACAGGAATAGCGTTAGATGCTTTATGTTTGCTGCTTACTTATATTTTATGTGGAAATATTAATTAAAGATGTGTCTGTTTCCTTGCAGCAGGCAATGCCATTGATAATAACAAACGAGCTCGTAAATCCGCAGGCCTATCGAATTTCGATTCCAATGAATCGTTTTCGGATAATGAAATTAATTATTGCACAGCTGCCACAGCTCCGGCTTTGAATATGGCAGATGAAATGAAAGAAAGTCGACAACCTCTTAATAGAAGAGATCAGCAAAGAAATCAACTCCAACAAGAGAAGTTTGAAGATCGGGAGGAAGAAAGTGAAGACAGGTGTGCAGAACATTTCTATCCTTGTCTATTAATTATGTTATGTATAGAAAAGTTTCTATTTTAAGTATTTACAAAAAAGTTTTAATTTTTATTAAAAAAAAAAAAGTAAAAAAATCAAATAAGAAACATTAGTAAATAAAAATGTATTATTCATATTAATTTTCATGTAAGCTTTTACTAAACACTTTTCCATTCACTTATTTATTTCCTTAGTCTTATGGAAATCAAAAATTGCGAAGACGATGTTAGTGCAGCAGAAGCTTACGGTAGAGACGAAATACTAAACGAACACCAGGTATCGAAAACTCAAAGAACTAAAATAAAGGTAAGTTTTTTATAAAGTTTTTAATTTATTTTTTTTTTTTTTTTTTAATGTCGATTATACCTTAGGAAGTACGTTATGCCGAAAAAGATTATTATATTCAAAGCAGGCAGCCAGAGAGTTCCTCTGAAGATTCTATTGATGATTATTTGGAGGAAGCTTTAGATGGTCAAGACGATGGCGATGATGATAATACCCAAAGCGAAGATGAAAAAGAAGAAAAATATGATAGTCATTTATCAAAAGGTGTAAGTGAAAATTTTTATTTTCTTTTTGCGAAATCTTCACATAATTTATGTCTATAAATTGTTTTGCTTTTAGAGCCTTGGGACAACAGCTTCTCATAGTTTCAGTTTTCGCAAGACACCTACGACTATTTATAAGACAATAGACGGAAAAAGTAATAACGATAGCTTCCAAACACCGACCACGAGCAGAGGCACCACAGTAAACGCAAATAACTTATCATCTGGTGGCTCTTATATGCAACCAGTCAAATCAGAGTTGAGTGTAAACAAAGAGAACGATAATATGGTCACACTTGTGCATACGGTAAGTAAACTTTTGTCAACGCGATAAAAATACAGGGTTCTAATCCGTAATTATTCCTTGTATTTTTTGTGAAATTTCTGTACGCTCTCAGAGTGCGAGTTCTACATCTACACCTATACGTAAAATTTGTCGTGAGCAACAAGTGCCGCAGTTCCATAACTTCCATAGTGAAGATAGTGAGTACACCGATGGTGATTTAACGCAATCCGATGAGGAAATGGATGATAC